TGCCTGCAATGTGCCAGTTCTAGACTTGGCTGCCCCACTTCCGATCCAGCTCTCTGCTATGGCCTGGGAAAGCAGTCCAAGATGGCCCAAGTCCTTGGGCCGCTGCATCTGTAAGGGAGACCTGGAAGAAGCTCCTGGCTCCTGGCTTTGGATTGGCCCAGCTCCGGCTGTTGTGACCATTTGGGGAGTGAACCAGTGGATGGAAGACTCTTTCTCTCATTCTGCCTCTGACTCTCTGTAACCCTGACTTATAAATAAATAAATAAATCTTCAAAGAAAAAAAAAAATCAAAAGCATGCATGCACACCCCCCTCCCCGGGAAAACTGTTTTCACTTGTGTACCATCTTGCAGACCGTACTGTCTAGTGTGAAACACCATATTCTCCATTCTGTTTCCAGTCTTGTCTTCCCTGAGTCCATCCAAGGTAGATCTGCTTGCCCTCTGATCCTTTCAGCAGATAGTTTATTTTGGTGCAAAAATTTTTGAAATTAATTCAGATAAGGGGTCTTCAAAAAGATCATTGCAAATGTGTATTATGATAAAGTTATACATGAATTTTCAAATTTTGGCACCAAAATAAGCTCAGTTTTTAACTCCATTTTCCATAAACTTTTTGCATTGCCCTTTTAATACCTAACAGCATGCTCTGGGTATAGTAGATATTCAACAAATGTTTCTGAACTTGATTTATTACTTTATATTTTTCCATTGTTTTTTAAAGTAAAATATATAGGAAATGAGATGCACTATTTTAGCCATTAATAAGTATACAGTTCTGTGCAATCAAATTTGTTCACATTACTGTGCAACAATCACTCACATCCATCTCCAAAACTTCTAAAATCTTCCCCAGCTCATTAATCTCTGCTCCCTCCTTCTTGCTTTCCTCCAGCCCCTGACAACCTGTGTTGTACTCTGTCTCCATGAATTTGACTACACTGGGTGCTCATAGAAGAGAAACCAAACAGTGTTTGTCTTTGCAATTGGCTTGTTTCGTTCAGCATAATGTTTTCAAGGTCCATCAGTCTTTTAGCCTGTGTCAAAGTTTTCTTTTTCTTTTTCTTTTTTTTTTTTTTTTTGACAGGCAGAGTGGACAGTGAGAGAGAGAGAGAGAGAGAGAGAGAGAAAGGTCTTCCTTTGCCGTTGGTTCACCCTCCAATGGCCGCCGCGGCCGGCGTGTTGCAGCCAGCGCACCGCGCTGATCCGAAGCCAGGAGCCAGGTGCTTCTCCTGGTCTCCCATGGGGTGCAGGGCCCAAGCACTTGGACCATCCTCCACTGCACTCCCTGGCCACAGCAGAGAGCTGGCCTGGAAGAGGGGCAACCGGGACAGAATCCGGCGCCCCGACCGGGACTAGAACCCCGTGTGCCGGTGCCGCAAGGCGGAGGATTAGCCTGTTGAGCCACGACGCCGGCCAATTTTCTTTCTTCTTATGGCTGAATAGTAATACCTTGTTGTGTCTGTGTGTGCATCATATTTGTTCATTCATCTGTCAATTGATACCTTTTGACTGTGGTGAATAATGCTGCTATAAATAATGGGTATACAAATATATATTTAAGTCTCTTATTTTGGGAATATCCCCAGACTTAGAATTTCTGGATGATGTGGTCATTCTGTGTTTAGTTCTTTGAGGAATTACCATACTGTTTTTCATGTCAACTGTACCATTTTACGTTTCCACCAAAGATGCACGAGGAGTCCAGTTTTTCCACATCTTTGCCAACACTTGTTGTTTTCCCTCCTTCCCTTTCTCCCTTCCTTCTTTTATGATGATAGCCATCCTAATGGGTGTGAAGTGGTATATCTGTGGATTTTGATTCCCCTATTTCCCTATTAGCAGGTGATGCTGAGGGTCTTCTCATGTGCTTGTCATCCATTTGCATATCTTCTTTGGAGAAATGTCTATTCAAGTCCACTGTCCATTTTTTAATCAGATTGCATGTGTTTTTCTTGTTGAGTTGTAGGACTTCTTTATATATTCTACTTTTAACTGATTATCAGATACAATTTGCAGGTATTTTCTCTGTTCTGTGGTTTGTCTTTTTTCTCTTTTGATGCTGTCCTTTGATGCGCAAGTTTTCAATTTCGGTAATGTACAATTTATGTATTTTTCTTTTATTGTTTGGACTCTGTTATGATATCCAAAAAATCATGGCTTAAATCAGTATCATAAAGCTTTTCTCCTATCTTTCCTTCTCAGTTTTACATTTTTATATATATCATCTATATATAATATATATAGTATGCATTTTAAAATTTATTTACGTACTTGAAAGGCAGAGTGACAAAGAGAGAAGGAGAGACAAATAAGGTGTAATCTTCCATCTGCTAGTTCACTCTCCAAGCAGCTCTAGGCCAGACTGAAGCCAAGAGCTAGAAACCAGGAACTCTATTCTGATTTCCCACAAGCTCTTAGGCCAACTTCTGCTGTCTTCCCAGCCACATTAGCAGCAAGCTGGATCAGAAACAGAATAGCCAGGACTTGAACTTGCACTGCACTATAGGATGCTAGCGTTGCAAGCAGCAGCTTAACCTGCTGCACCACAACTCTAGCCTCCATAGTTAGGTTTTTGAGCATTTTTGATATAATTTTTGTTTGTGTTATAATGTGAAAATAACCAATTTTATTTTTTTACATGTGCATATCCAGTCTTCCCAACATCATTTGTTGGAAAGACTTTTCCCCTTTGAATGATCCCCCCCATTCATATTTGATAAGATGATTTCACTTTTATTGATTCTCAAAGTTGTATTTGTAGGAATTTTAAGATGTTCCTTGTCACTGCCTTATCTTAGAACCTTAATACTTGCTTATTCATTCTTCCCCACTTTGAAATTAAAGGAAGAACTTGTCAGATTTGTATTGCCAATAGAATCATCATTTATCACCTCTTCTATCTTCTTATTAGTTTATTTAGATTTTGCAATCTCTTTGCTGTGTACTTTGCTTTCTTGCATCTTGAAACATCCTGGAAACATTAGAATACTTTGCCAGTCTTTTAAATGAAGGCTCCTTTGATGTCTTAAATTTTGTTTTCATGTTACTTAACCTCTCTGGGCTTTAGATTCATTTTTTTATCAAATGAAGATTGAACTAAGTGGTTTGTCATTTATCTTTTACTGTGGAAATTCTATGATCCTAGGCTACTGGTGAATGATTTTTTTAATCAGCTAATAAACATCCAATGAAGAGTATAAACTTTTTATCATATATAGGGAGCACTTTAAAATATTGATTCCATAATATATTCTCTTTATTACTTTCTTTGCAGTTTTGATATTTTCTCCATACTTGAACAGAAGTTTTAGTCTCTTTCAATGGTAAAAAAAAAAGAAAGAAACCCAAAAACTGAAGTTTCTAAGTGTTATTGTAGTTTGTAGTATTACAACATTTATCTTCCTTATGCATTAATGGGCGAATGGGCATAATTTAATGTACATTAAAATTGTTTGCACATGAACACAGAGGACACCAAAAGCCAGGTGAAAAAGAGAAGAGAATAAACACAGGGCCTTTCTTCTGGAAAGTCAGAGAAATAAATCTACAACTCAAACAGGGAGTTTTGGGATACTACACCCTTGGATACATCATTGAGAGGCCTGTCGTCGTATGTTGCCTATGCATATACAGATTAAGATTGACAAAAAGCCATTTTTCCTAGTCTTGTCTACTATATCAGTTGTGTAATTATATAATCTTATAGGTTCAACTGTAGTTATAGCATATGCTAATTCATTTTATGTTGTAAAATTTTTTGCCTTTGCTGTTTGCCTTTTTTTATAACATTGAAGTATGATCAATAATAGCTAGTATTTATCACATCCTCAGTATATTTGTTTCAATTTTATTATTTTCATGCCTTTCACATCTTTTTAAAGGCTTCTTCATTTATTTTGAAAGAGTTATAGAGAAAGAAGTTTGAAGGAGGGAGGGAGGGAGGGGAGGAGGGAGAGACAGAGAGAGAGACAGAGAGAGAGACAGAGACAGAGACATTTCCCATCTGCTGGTTCACTCCCCAGATGACTGCAATGGCCAGGACTGGGTCAGGCCAAAGCCAGGAGCCAGAAGCTTCATCTATGTCTCCCATGAGGGTGGCAGGGGCCTAAACATTTGGACCATCTTCTGCTGCTTTTCTCAGGCACATTAATAGGAAGCTGGATCAGAAGTGGAGCAATGAGGACACAAACTGTTGCCCATATAGGATGCCAGTGTCACAGGTAGTGGCATTATCTGCTGTGCCACAATGTTGGCCCCAGAAATGATGTTTTAGTGAAGATATTTTATAAGGAACTATTACAGATGCCAAGGAGAGAAGTTAGCTCCTTACAGATAGATAGTGATTCCCTAACATCATTAGAGATTCATTCTCTTGGTTGGTACAGGGTGACTTGACAGGTAGACTGGGATGAGAACAGCTTTTTATAGCTTTTGAATTTTGAACTATCTGAATCTGTTATTACTGTTAAATTATTAGTACTGAACCATTGGTAAGAAACTGAAATGGTATGTTACCTTTAGAACTTTTCATTTGAAATCTTGAATCCTGTTCTTAATAGAGAAATAAAAGTATTGGCTGTATCAAATACTATTTCAAATCATAGCAGCAATTTTATTGGGTTGCTTGTAGTCAAACTGAAATGGGCAGTAAATCTGGCATAAAGTGGAAAAATTTGGGAATACTTGCATATCTTTTTAGGGAATTTCCTTAGCTTAGTAACAGGGTTAGAAAGCAAAGTCTTCTTTAGAGACTGATAAAAAAATTGATAAATTATTTAAGAATGGTGTGCTCAATGAACTGCAATCCAAACAGAGGAAATGTAATGGGAAATTATTACATTAGTACCAGAAGGACTTACTTGCTGAATTTCAGGCTTACTAGAAATTCTAAAACAGCTTAAATTTATTTTTTAAATTTTGAGTATGATTAAAAAAGAGATTTATTTGGTTATACTATTGTGATTCTTAATATATTTTTTGGATGTTTTATTTGTACTAGGCTATTTTTATGATTCCAACAAACCCACCACCGACATTCAGGAAGCCAGAACTTTGGTCTGATGATTTCACTGATTTTGTTAAAAAATGCTTAGTGAAGAATCCTGAACAGAGAGCTACTGCAACGCAACTTTTACAGGTCAGTGCTGGTAAGGGAAGGATATTTTCTTTAAACCTTTTAGCTTTCTGATATTGGTCAGAATTGCTATGAGTTTCACAACTGATTTTGAAAGATTTAAACCTCCCTAGAAAGTATGGATGGATAGTCCATGCGTGTGCGTGTGTGCGTGCACACACACACACACTGCCGTGTGTTCTCTTTGTCCCACTTTTTGTTTTCCAGATTCAGTCTTACACCTCTTTCCTTTGTGTTGTTCTTAACTCTTGACTCCTAAAATTCCTTTAAACAAACTTTGCAAAGATTTCTCATTTCAGAAAGGATTTGTTTCCATAGTTACTGTTGCTCATGTTTTCCTTACATTCCTTGACTCTGCATTTCTCCCTTGACTTTGGTGCAGTATATGATATGTAATTGCAGGATTGTCTCATGTTGTAAATACTAGTTATAAGATTACCTAAGTGAAGAATTTTAGTATCCCTGTTATAAGTATACTTTGTATTTGGAGTATTTTTTTAAAATCTACTTTGAAATTTAAGACAAGTAGAAGGCCAGTGCCGCGGCTCACTAGGCTAATCCTCTGCCTTGCGGCGCTGGCACACCGGGTTCTAGTCCCGATCGGGGCACCGGATTCAGTCCCGGTTGCCCCTCTTCCAGGCCAGCTCTCTGCTGTGGCCAGGGAGTGCAGTGGAGGATGGCCCAAGTGCTTGGGCCCTGCACCCCATGGGAGACCAGGAGAAGCACCTGGCTCCTGGCTTCGGATCAGCGCGGTGCGCTGGCTGCAACGCGGCGGCCATTGGAGGGTGAACCAACGGCAAAGGAAGACCTTTCTGTCTCTCTCTCTCACTGTCCACTCTGCCTGTCAAAAAAAAAAAAAAAAAAAAAAAAAGACAAGTAGAAATAATGTAATACCTGAAGTATTTGTGAACCTTTATTTTCTCAGCAGAATTACATCAGAATTCTGAGCTAATAGAGTGTCTCACATTAACAAAATTTCGTATGTACAAAATGAGTCTTATTAAGTGACAAAAGGATTCAAAACATGGCTGTTATAAAAAGTGACTTCCCAAGGTGCCATTTTAAAAAATGGTTTTGTTGAAGAGTATGGGAAACAGACTCTTAAATGTATGCTTACTGTTAGGAAAATTTAATTTAGTACTAAATGGAAGCCAATTTAGCAATCTATCTAAAATAAAAATCCATGTATTCTTTGGCCCAGCAATTACACATCTAGGAAAAATTTAACCTTATATGAAATAATATATGTGGAAAAATATTCACAGAACATTGCAATAGAAAAAGATTGGAAACAACCTAAATATCTGTCAGTAAACTGCAGACTGTCTAAGAGGAGTGATTGGAAAAGTATGTCCACACACATGTGTGCATATGTACGTGTTTGTCAGTGCTTCTATCAGGGTGTCTCTGGGAAGAATGGCCTCCTGAGAAGATCATTGCGGGTGAAAGACAGGAATGGGATGGAGACTTTATTCTCCCTAAATACTCTTTGTGGGACCTTAAAAAAGATTTTTTTAAATATTTATTTGAAAGGCAGAGTTACAGAGGCAGGGGGCAAGGAGAACAGAGAGAGAGAGAGAGAGAGAGAGAGAGAGATCTTTTATCTGCTGGTTCACTTCCCAAAGGGCCACAATGGCCAGGGCTGGGCCACACGGAAGCCAGGAACCAGGGGCTTATTTCAAGACTCTCACATGGGTGCAGGGGCCCAAATACCTGTGTCACATCCTCTGCTGCTTTCCCAGACACATTAGCAGGGAGAGCTGGACGGGAAATGGAACAGCTGGATCTCAACAGGTGTCCATATGGGAATGTGGTGTTGCAGACAGAGGTTTATGATACCATGTCATAATGCCAGCCTTGAGACTTGCAAATTTTGAGTTTTATGTAAGTATTACTTTTGAATTTTGAGTATATGCAAATATTAGTTTTTAAAAATGAACTAATTTATGACTAAGAAAAGTAAATTTTAGGTTATATTCTTCTGTAAAAAATTGAAAACATTAATTAAGACATTTACTTTGAAGTATTGTCAAAGGAATTTTAAGTGCAGAAATCAAGACCCTATTTGTATTGTCATAATGAGTAAATAAATTATTTAACCCCCCCAAAAATGCAAAAAGGAAAAAAAGAAAAAATAAAGACAGGCAAAGCCAAAAAAATGCCACAAAATATGATGGTCAGCATTTTAATTTTTGGATTAAAAAAACAGTGTTTCTTTCTCCAAACATTTCTAATTTTTCTTGAGAAAAGAAATTCTTATGTTTTTTTTTAACTTTTATTTAATGAATATAAATTTCCAAAGTACAGAATATTGATTACAATGGCTTCCCCCCCATAACGTCCCTCCAACCCGCAACCCTCCCCTTATCCACTCCCTCTCCCCTTCCATTCACATCAAGATTCATTTTCAATTCTCTTAATATACAGAAGATCAGTTTAGCATACATTAAGTAAAGATTTCAACAGTTTGCTCCCACACAGAAACATAAAGTGAAAAATACCGTTTGAGTACTAGTTATAGCATTAAATCTCAATGTACAGCACACTGAGGACAAAGATCCTACATGAGGAGTAAGTGCACAGTGACTCCTGTTGTTGACTTAACAAATTGACACTCTTGTTTATGGCATCAGTAATCACCCTAGGCTCTTGTCATGAGCTGCCAAGGCTATGGAAGCCCCCTGAGTTCACCGAGTCTGATCATATTTAGACAAGGCCATGGTCAAAGTGGAAGTTCTCTCCTCCCTTCAGAGAAAGGTACCTCCTTCTTTGATGACCCATTCTTTCCACTGGGATCTCACTCGTGGAGATCTTTCATTTAGGCTTTTTTTTTTCCCCCAGAGTGTCTTGGCTTTCCATGCCTAAAATATTCTCATGGGCATTTCAGCTGGATCCGCATGCCTTAAGGGCTGATTCTGAGGCCAGAGTGCTGTTAGGACATTTGCCATTCTATGTTTTACCATTCTTATGTTTTTAACTCAGAACTTTTAGGGTAGAAAAGCACTTGATAAATATTCTGACATAGTTCCCTGCTTTTGTGGATGAGGACACTGAAGCCCAGAAAGGTTCAGTGACTCTTTGAACATCCCACAGGGGCTCACTGATTGTGCGGGGTATATTTTGGCCCACTCTGGACCCCTTCTTACTTGGCCCTCTGCCCCCAGGAAGTTGCCCCATATGGAGTAATTAACAGGCTCTGTATGGATTTGGCCTAGGCATCTTTCTTTATATTAACAGTAAGCAGAGCAACTATTTTTGTATAATGCTTATGCATAGTGCTTATTTGCCAATATTTGCTTCCTTGGTTTTTATTTTTCTATTCTTTTTAAGAGAAAGCTTTTATTTAATAAATATAAATTTCATAAGTACAACTTGTGGATATTAGCAATTCTTCCCCCCATAATTACTCTCCCACCCCCAAACCGTCCCACCTCCTACTCCCTGTCCCATCCCATTCTTCGTTAAGGTTCATTTTTAATTATCTTTATATACAGAAGATCAACTCTGTACTAAGTAAAGATTTCAACAGTTTGTACCCACACAGACACATGAAGTATAAAGTACTGTTTGAAGACAAGTTTTACTATTAATTCTCATAGTACAACACATTAAGAACAGAGGTCCTACAAAAGGAGCAAGTGCACAGTGACTCCTGTTGTTGATTTAACAATTGACAGTCTCATTTATGATGTCAGTGATCACCTGAGGCTCTTGACATGAGCTGCAAAAGCTATGGAAGTCTCTTGAGTTCACAGACTCCAACATTATTTGGACAGGTCCATGAGCAAAGTGGAAGTTTTCTTCTCCCTTCAGAGAAAGGTACCTCCTTCTTTGATGGCCCCTTCCACTGGGACCTCACTCACAGAGATCTTTCATGTAGGTCATTTTTGCAGAGTGTCTTGGCTTTCCCCATGCCTGAAATGCTCTCATGGACTTTTGAGCCAGATCCGAATGCCTTAAGGGCTGATTCTGAGGCCAGAGTGCAGTTTAGGGTGTTTGTCATTCTATGAGTATGCTGTATGTCCTGCTTCTCACGTTAGATGGTTCTCTTCCTTTTTTAATTCTATCAATGATTAGTAACAGACACTTGGTCTTATTTATGTGATCCCTTTGACACTAACGCTATCTTTATGATCAGTTATGAACTTAAACTGATCACTTTAGTAAGATGGCATTGGTACCTGCCAACTTAATGGGATTTGGAATTCCATGGCAAGTTTTTAGCTTTACCCATTTCTCTTCTTGATCAACCATTCAACCTCTTTGTTGTAACATGATGTCCTTACCTGATCCCTTGAAACTCCCATGCTTTCTCGATGATACTGAAGAGAAAGACTTAAAATTTCTTATACAGACCTTACATTTTCATTCCTTCATACCTTTTTCCTGTTTTGCCACTCTCCCCCATCCTGGTTCCCATAAGTGTCCCATTCATCAGATGAATCCTTCTTACTCACCAGTTTTTTCTAATTCAAATTAGATATTCCTCCACAGACTGTTGGGATACTTTAAGTTCCCATAAGCATCTTGGTCGCAAATCTTTTACTAAGTCAGAATGAGATAACTCATTTCTGTCCTTAGTCCTGGATTATAACTAGTTCAAGGTCAGAGACTGTTTATTAGCAGGGAATGACTTTTGCACTCTTAAGTATCTGATAGTTAATACATGTGTATTGTACTTAATTTGTGTGTATGTAACATAACAAATTCTTGATTTATATATATTTTTAGAACAGATATCTTTTTTCTCATTAGAGTCTTGTTTCGCTGGAAGCCTAAAATCCTTCTTTGTGTATTGTCTATTAAGAGTTAAAATCAAAGTGTAATTCTCAGGGTCAACACTGTGGCGTAGTCAGTTAAGCCTTCACCTGTGGCACCAGCATCCCATATGGGCATCGGTTCAAGTCCCAGCTGTTCTACTTCCAATCCAGCTCCCTGCTAATGCACCTGGGAAAGCAGCAGAAGATGGCCCAAGTGCTTTAGTTCCCTTTACTCACAGGAGA